TCCTTAGTGGTGGAATTGGATTTTAACAGAGAGCAGTTGTCTTGCTGTTTCATTCTGCATTGAGATTTATGCATCTGGAGTTGTTTTTGATTAGGGTTTTAATCCCTAGTGCCTCTGTAGTTGGGATTATGAGATTTTTTTTTTTTCTGGAGTTCCAGCAGTTTTCCTCAGGGAGGAGTCTGCTGGAAATGTTACCCCTTTCAGGGTTCTTGTTGTGGTGCAGATTTCCTCTTTTCTCCCCTCAGCAAGGGGACTGGAATTCCCACTCTTTGGTGGGGGCAAGAGGGCTCTCCTACAGTCACAGTGGGGAACATTGGGTCTCTGTGCATGGTGGGAGGCAGGCCTCCTACCACCAGCAAAGTAGCCAATTGCCACTCAATGGACAAGCTGGGATTCCAGCTCTTGGATGGGAGAGATGGAACTCTCCTGCAGGGAGGCACAATGTGAAGCACTGGGCCTCTGGTATCACCTGCAGAGTATCAGTTACACCTTTCTTCCCCTCAGTGGGGATTCTGGCATTCTCACTCTATAATGGGGGAGTGAGGGCTCTCTGGCTGTCAGGAACAATGGGGAGAGCTGGGTCTCTGTTCACCTTGGGAGGCCAGCCTCCTGTCAGGTGCAGAATAGCAGATTGCCACTCAGTGGGGGAGCTAGGGTTCTAGCTCTTAGACAGGGAAGACTGGACTCTCTTATAGGCAGGCAAGGTGGGAAGTGTTGGCTACCAGTAGCTATGGCAGCTGCTGCAGGTGCAGGGGAGCCAAGCCAATGGGCAGTGGGAGCTCTGGGGCCTGCTCACTAGCATGGGTTACCAGGAGCCACTGCAGCTGATTCAGGCACAGGGGAACCTAGCTTTCAGGCAGCCTGAGTTCTGGGGCCTGCTTTCCAGGAATGGGCTCCAGGAGCACAGCACAGTAGTGTTGGAGGCATAGGGGAACCAAGCCTTCAAGTAGTGGAAGCCCTGGGGTCTACTTGTAGGCACAGGCTATCAAGAGCTATGGCAGCTGCTGCAGGGATGGGGGCACCAAGCCTGTGGGCAATGGGAATTCTAGGACCTCAGTGCCTGTGTGGGCTTCTGAGAGTGCAGTACAGTGACGTTGCTGCTGGCACAAGGGAACCAAGCCTGCTGGCTTGGACCTTCTGTTACCTGTGAAGCAGTGGGAGCCATGGGTCCTGCTTATACAGGGGCACCAGTTTCCCTAGCATTCCAGGGTGAAGGTATCAGGTTGTGTAGTATGGGTAATGTGGAGCTCCAAGTTCCTGTGTGCCAGGAAGCAAGACTTATTGCTGAGTGCCAATAATGGAGCCTGGAGCCATGCAGAGACTTCAGGGGTGGGTGGTTGGGAGTGTTGAGCTGTGAGTTGTTTTTCCCATTCTTCTCATGGTTAGTTGCTTCTCTATTTGTGGATTCAGAGAGGGCTTAGCTTCTTGCTGGTTATAGGACCCCATGGGTACCTTTTGGGGTCCCCTGATCTTCCTTTTTCAGGGTAATTTGTTACCACTAGGCTATAGGATGTCAACAATCTGCCATCATGTTTGATTGTTTCTGAACTCTTAAAAATAGAATAAAGCCAAGGTTTCCAGAGGCTGGGGGTTCAGAGTGGTGGGAAGATTTAAGGATATAAATTTTTAGTTATAAGATAATGAGTTCTGAGTATCTGATGTACAGCATGGTGACTGTCACTAATAATACTGTATCATATACTGGACATTTTCTAAGAGAATAGATTTTAAGCATTTTCACCAAAGAAGAGGAAGAAAAAGTTAATTCTATTAGATAAAGAATGTGTTAATTAATTCAGTTATGGTAATCATTGCACAGGGTATATCTACCAAATTATCATATTAGTTGAGCACTTTATCTTTCTCTGTCTCTCTGTCTCTCTCTCTCTCTCTGTCTCTCTCTCTCATGTTGGTGATCAAATTCAGGACCTTGCACATTAGGCAAGCATTCTACCATTAAGCATAAAATTTTGTCAATTATACTTCAAGAATTCAGATATAAAATTGTAGGGTTTTTTCATTTTCTCTTTTATATAATGTCTTATTTCCTCCTCACCAACACCCCTGGTTAACAAGGACTCTGAATATGATGAATCAAAACCTCATAATTAATCATTTGCTTTATTTTACCTTTAATGTAAAAATAATCATCTTTATATTACCACTACAAAAGTTATCAAAAACACTTAGAATATTATTATATTCTCATTCCTCTTTGATTTTGACAATGTTGTAGTATACCTTCACTGTCAGAGCATACAAACATTAATGCTGTACTCTTTTGGATATAATCATCATTTATTCTTAGTTCTTCAAATTAGTATATACATAGTTTTCATGGCCAGTTCTTGTGTTCATGTTTTTCTAGTTAACTTTGGTTGTTAAAGCTCATGCACTAGAAGTACCTAAGAAAGGCTCATGAGAACAATGTTCCTTTGTTTCTTTTATGTTGCTCAGACTTTTTATATGCCTTATATACTTGAAGGTTAGTTTGACTAGTTATAAAAATCTTAGCTCTCATACTCTCTTGTTAAGTGTCCTAAATACAGTATTCTATTTACTTTTGTCATAAAGCTTTGCTATTGAAATTCTTTTCCTTTATAAATCATTCTCTCTCTCTCTCTCTGTATTGGGGTTTGTACTCAGGGCCTTGGGCTTGCCAGGCAGGGGCTCTACCACTTGAGCCATGCCCCCAGCCCTTTTTGCTTTTATTGTTTTTAATAAATAGGGTCTTGCCGCCTGGGTCACCATCTTCCTGTTTATGCCTATGCATAACATCGCATTGCATCCAACTATTATAAGTTGAGATGGAGTCTCCCTAACTTTTCCCCCAGGACTGTCCAGAATGGTGATCTTTCCAATCTCTGTCTCTCCAGTACAGAGGATTATAAGCATTAGCTACTATGCCCAGCTACCATTTTTCTTTAGCATCTAGTAGTTTTATGGGAATATGTCTTGGTTGATAATTATGGGTCACTTTTCCAGGTATAGTTGCTCTTTCAGAACTCTTTTTTAATTAAAAAAATTTTTTTAGTGGGACTGGGGTTTAAACTCAGGGCCTTGCACAAAACTTTCTTCTTTGCTCCTTTTGTTTTTCTTACCACTTGTGCTTTTGTGTTTATTAATTTTTGTCTAGTCTTTTTCATATGATTATTGTTTTATTTATAGTTATTTATTGATTCTGAGGACCTAGTTCTTAGTTATTTCCTACTATAATTTGTGTTGCTATATCATATCTTATATCATTTCTTTAAAGTCTTTTAATTAATTTGAAATAGTAGGTTATAGTTTTTTATATTTACATCTTTCTGGTATGCTTTCAGTTTGTATAGGGATAATAATTTTTCTTATTCTTATTTTTCTTATAACTTTGTATGAGACCTGACCTCATTACTCTTAAGTGGCTTACTTTTCTGGTCATAATCTTCCAGAAGGTTTAGAAAGAAATGTGCTGGTGGTGGAGTGGCTCAAGTGATAAGAGCATCTGCATAGCAAGCATAAGGCCTTGAGTTCAAACCCCAGTGCCACCAAAAAGAAAGAAAGAAAGAAAGAAATGTGATGCAGATGGCTTTTCTAGCTTCACAGAGCTCTCACTTAGGTTGTTTCTGTGAGTTAAAAATATATGGTGTCTTCGTTAGTGACATACTCTGGCTCATCCCCATAAATTTATTGGGTTTTCTCCTTTGGCTCTGTTGTCCCTGTCAAGTTCATTTGTGACAATCCTCCTGATAGTTTCTTCTCTAGATGAAGTCCGGCCTAAACGGAGCACGGGAGGTTGGTTTCATGTGCTTACTGCACATTTTGCTTCAGGCCTTCTTGCTGTAGGTGCTGCCTCTTGACACCTTATGATTATAAGAAAGTTATTTAACTTGTCTAAGCCCAGCTTCTTCATTTGAAGAATACTTCCCATGTATAGTGTTCTAGAGATCAAATGATACAGTGTGCATAGATAATAGCTGAGTGTTTGGCATATCACATACACCTCGAAAATGGGTGCTCATCAATAACCAACATTGTTCCCAGGCATTCATTTAATTCATTTTGGACAAATGAGTAATGAGGTAATATTGACTTTACGTGGCCTTTATTATATTTTACATAGTGAATTGTCAAACCCCATTGAGAATAAAACCAAACTAATTGATACATACACACATGAAGACCTTAGGATATAAAGGAGTTGAAATCTGTCCATTGTTCCTTTTTCTGATGAATAGCAAATATGTGTCTACCACCTTAGCAAGGCCTTGCCTGCATACTCCTGGAAAACATACAGATTGTTTACCACCCTGTCTTGTGTTTATTTTCTTCTGTATCTGGTAGTACATTCTGACAGTTGTGAATAAGCAGCACTGGGGGACTGCCTGAGGATAGTTTTATTTTGTTCTCATGCAGCTAGGAATAGACATTATATAATTATGCACTGTTAGAACATTTGGATTTGTTTATTCTTACTTACCTTGAAGAACAATTGTATTATTTTCTGGAGCATAACAACTATATCTCCATAGCACCTGGGCAGAAATAATTCTGAGATTGTTAGATGTTTCCTGTTTTTATCTCCATGTGGAACAAACAATAGGTGTAGAAAGAGCAGGAGACTAGACAGGAGTGACTTTGGGGCTCAGCATTTCAGTTAAGTTCTTCCCAGTGACTGGTTGATGACTAGATTTCTCCTTTTCTGAAGAGCCTGAGTTCATGTACTATATAGTGATTCAGATCCCCTAAAGAGAGACATTAGGGTCAATAAAGGATGAGAGCAGACCTTTGATTAAAGCCATATATGCAGCTTTCAAGTGGACATGTAATACGTCTAATTCATAGGCAGACCTTGGCCAGTTACCACTATGTTTTTCATTGATGTGATAAGCACTGGGAAAATTAAAAAGAGAGAACTGAACATCATTTATATGCTAATGAGCTATGGACACTAGTTTAAGAAAGGATCAACAATTCTGTTTCTTAATTGTATGTCTTTTTGTGTGTTTGTTTTAATTTAGCTTCGGAAAGCAGTGATGGATCACATATCTGATTCTTTCTTGGAAACCAATGTCCCTTTGCTGGTTCTCATTGAAGCTGCAAAGAGTGGGAATGAAAAGGAAGTAAAAGAATATGCCCAGGTTTTCCGTGAACATGCCAACAAGCTGGTGGAGGTAAGTCAGGAAAGACCTGATGACTTTATTAACAAGTGATATAACATATAGATATAGAGTTTATCTCTACATATAGCTCTTTGAATTTCAATAGAAAGCTCTTCTACAGTTTTCTTGGACAAATAGAGTTCTGGAGGCTTCCTGTCCTTTGCCTTCTGATTACCCCTTAGAAAAGAAACAGATCATTAGTACTCTCTCCTCCTTTTATCTCGTAACTCTAAGCATGCTCTGAAATATGTCTACTAGTTTTCCTGAGCACTAGGCAGGGGCTGCAACTGAAGGATAAAGGACTCTCCAAAGTGCTGAATGCCAGGTTTGATGTGAGGGAGTAGGATTAAAAGCGCCAAATGGACACCAAGCACACTGCTCTCTTTTTCATTGTTGTTGTTCCTTTCTCCACTCTGTACATGGAAGATTAAATTAGCTGGCATAGTGTGAATTTTTTTTTTAAATTCCACTTCTTTCAAATAGATGCTTGAACTTCTGGTAAAAGATCCTGGGGACAGTACTAACATAAGTTCAGGATCATAAGTATATTTTATGTGTTAGAAAAATCTGTGGGAATTGCTTCATAAATGCTAAATACACTGTTTAACATTGAAAAAATATTGTGCAGAGGAAATTATAACTAGAATTTACAAGCAGAACACCAACAGTTTGAAAAGACAGGATTACTGATATGATAGTAAATATAAAGTAGAGATGTTAAACAGGGAATGAGTGCGTGACAGAAAAACCGCTCAGGAGGGGTGAGTACCCTGGCAAGTCCAGGGAATGGTTATTAAGACCAGGTTAAAGCTTTTGCCAGTTCTGAGCTTTTACCACTTCTATCACCATCACTGTGATGCATTCTTACTTTGATTCATAATAAAAATAAAATCATTCAAGTTGATAGAGACATGCAAGCTGAAATGAAAATATGTTCTTTTTTTCCACCTTTAGGTGGCAAAGCTAGTTCTTAATAGTTCATAAGTATAAAATCCTTTCTTGTTTTTCTTAGAGGAGTGGTTCAGATGATGTTTAATTTAGTTGTGCACAAAGCATGTGGTTAATTTGTTCTTCATTTGGTTAACCCAGCACTGGTAGTGGCCCTGGGATTGAAGACATCCAAACAGCAAGTCCCATATCAAGACCAGAGTCCTATATCCAATCTCTTTTTTCTCTAAGACACAGATGTACCATCCCGCATGACAGCAGTCAGCAGCTTCTGTGTGCCAAATCCTCAGCCACAATAAAAGAACTTCTGAACTTCTTAACACACCCCAACATCCCAGGGCAACAACAGCCTAGAGGTTAAAACTGGGTCATGTTTACAAAATTAAGACAGCCTCTCTGGATCAGTTTCCCCTTACAAGCCAAGGACTCCATCATCCCCTATGTTCCACCCACTTGGTACAAGAATTTACTTGACTATTGAAGAACCAGAGCCTGTCCAAGGTTGACCTTGGATGCCCTGACCACTTCCATGTTTTGACAAAAATTATTTAAGATGGAGAAAGAGTCAGGAGAGGGAAGAAGGAGAGAAACAAAATAATGTGGAGTGAGTACTACAAAGTTTTAAATATTCACATAACATAAGATACCATTAGCATATGAATATCGTGTCTAATCCATAGAATTAGTTTTTATAAGATAATTGCCAAACTTATAGAACACTTTGATTAATGGTGCATTGTAGAAATGCTGGACGAAGAACAAGATATGAATTTGAAGTAGATTGAGAAAAATCTCCTGCTGTTAGTATTGTCAGTATCTTTCTGTAACTGTACATAGCCTCATTTACAGACCATATTTGAAGTTCAAACTTGACACTGTATAAATATGAAGCTAGGGTCAAAGAGCTATCTTTTCTACTCTTTCTCCCTTTTCCTATGATAGACTCTGGACACGTTCACCATTTCCCCTTATCCTGTTTTTAGGTTCCACTATAAGTGAATCCAGACACTAGGGCTGAATCTTGATTCATAACTTGTGGCAGAAGCAGAATGCTCAGGTCATATAGAGCCACATATCAGAAAATTTCTACCTTTGTTCCCCCCAGTTCTTCCACTCATTACTCGTGAGTGGCTCCCACAGTCAGCATCATTTGGGAATGTCTCACTGGCCAGGAGATGCAGGGATCAGTGTGTAGACTGGCCTCTGTTTCACATAGAGGAATTTATTTTATTTATATCCTTTGACTAAGTGCTACTTCACTGGTACATGTACACAAAAAACTTGAAATTCTGGGATATTTCTATTACTTACTTTTGAAAAGTGTCTATTGGAACTTGAATAACTTCTCAGGGTTTTCTTAGTTTCTGTGTCTAATATCTTGGTGTTTTGGATCAGTTGACCTCAATAAATTTACTTGGCAATTTTAAAGCTTTGTATTCTTTGAGATTTTCAATGTAGACAATCATGTGCCTACAAATTATGAGAATTATATTTCTTCATTGTTAATCTTTATATCTTATATTTTTCCCTTGCATTATTGTGCTTGTCTGGGGCCTCTACAATATTGTATTAATAGAAATTTCTGTTATTTCCAGATCTCAGTGAAGAAAATTCACTATTTAATTAATTAACTTATTTATGTAGTACTGGGGTTTCTCAACTCAGGGTCTTATGCTTGCTAGGCAGGTGCTCTACCACTTGACCCACACCCATAGCCAAAAAAAATCACTATTTAACATTAATTATATTATTTGCTCTAGATTTCTTAAAAATATTATATCAAGTCAGTTCTATTACTCCTTTCCTATGAGTGTGCTTTAAAATTATGAGTACAGAATTATATTAAATATTTTCTGTACTTCTGGAGATAATTATATGGTTTATTTCTTTCATTTTCCTTCAAAGGTATTGTTATCAAAGTTATGTTTCTCTTAAAAATAATTTGGAAATTATTCCTTCTTTTTATTTTTTTGAAGTGAATGTATAAGACAGGTATTATTTATTTTTTTAAAGATTTGGAGGCATTCACTGATAAAGCAATGTGAACCTGGGGATTTATTTAAGGAAAGGTTTAAAAACATAAAGACATTGGAACTTTTTATTTCATTTTGAGTCAGTTCTGTTAAGTTGCCTTCTATGAACTTGCCATTTTCATTTAATTTTCTAACATTGACACAAAATTGTCCACACTATCCTTATAATTTTTGTTTAGTAGTGGTGGTGTCCACAAATATTGCTCATATTGCAATTGGTGTCTTCTTTCTTTTTTCTTGATTAGTACCAGGCACTCTTTTGAAAGTGATTTATCAATTTAATCATATCTTCTAAAAAAACAGCTTTCAGCTTTGTAAGTTTGTTTTCTATTTTAATTATTTTTGCTCTTTGTATTTCTCTTTTTATGCTTCCTTCTACTATAATTACTGTTCTTTTTCTAACTTACTAAAATGGATTATCACATCATTGATTATTTTGCTTTTCTCATTTTACTATTAAATGTTTTTAAGGCTATAAATTTCTCTCTAAGCTATGCTTAAGTCTGGTTATTTTCCACAGACCCAATTTTTAGTTCATTCATCCATCTGTGTCCAATATACTTGAAACCCATGTATTGAATTCTATTTGTTTTCAAGAATTTCTAGTTGATTCTCCTACTCTTCCTCTTTCTTCTCCTTCTAAAATGATTCCAGTACTCCAGTAAAATTCATTATTATACTATCTCCTTTAAAAACTACTAACCACAATTATTTTAAAGTAATTAATTTCCCCTCATCTAAACAATCCAGCTAACTCAGTCAAATACCCTTGGCCTGACCCTGGGCATTTGACCTCTTTTTTTAAACAGGGACTCCCAAAGACCCCCAAAGGCACTGACTACCTCCGCCATGTGGGGTCCTATTCTGGCTAGCACAAACCAAAAACCAGAGAAAAAGAAGAAGGAAAGAGTGGCCTTGGGGTTCTTCCTCCCCTCCCTTGGCCAGAGGACCTGTCTGGGGAGGGGCCTCCAATCCCCAACCAAAGAACTCTGATAACTGAGTCATCTGTATTACTGTTTTGGTTGGCCCCACAGGAGAGCAAACCCCACATACCCAGAACTACCTTGGATGTGAATAATGATAATGCAGTGTATATAGGTTTATTTTTCATATAACAGGACTTCTAGGAGCAGCAGAGCAGGCATCCAAGCCAGTCCATGATTGCTGGAGCAAAGATAAGAATGAGAGGCTTTGGTTTTCGTCATGTTAGGGAGTATGGCTACAGTCAGGATTTCTTCATGAGGACTGGGATTTGAATTGTTTGAATTTCGCTAGTGGCACAAAAAGAAGGAGGAAGAGAAGGAGGATAAGGAGGAAAGGAGGGGAATGAGGAAGAGGAAGAGAGGAGGAGGAGAAGGAGAAAGAGGAGGAGGGAGAAGAGAAGAAGGGGGAGGATGGGTATGAGAAGGAGGATGAGAAGAAGAGGTCTTTCTCATCAGCTTGCCTGACTATGGGGCAAGAGGGAACTGGGGGAAGGTAAGGATGAAAACTATCAGCAAACAGACAGGTGTGGTGACTCACAACTATAATCCTAGTTACTCCATAGGTAGAGGTCAGGAGGATCATGGTTTGGTGCCAGCCCTGGCAAAAATTTCATGAGACCCCATCTCAACCAATGGCTTGGCACAGTGGTGCACATCTATTATCATCAGTTACATGGAGAAGCACAAATAGGAGGATTGGGGTCCAGGCTTGCCCCAGCATAATGTGCAACTATATAAAAAATAACCAACCCAAAAAGAGCAGGGGCTTATAGTATGCCTGTCTTGCAAGGCCCTATGTTCAACCCCGAGTCCTTCCAAAGAGAAAAAATACCCAATAATCAAAAAACTATCAGCAAAGATTTAAATTGGAGTAGAATTTATTGGTGTCTGGTTTTATTATTTGATTTCTTACAACTGTGTTTTTTGATATGCCAGGTAAATATTAATAATTTTATTTTAATGGACATATAATAATTGTACATGTTTATGGATGGGGTACAGTATGATATTTCAATACATGTATATATTGTATAATGATCAAATCAGG